ACAACGGCAGAGTGGCCTCGTGATTTCTGTGGCCGTAGAACAGCAGCGAAATATCCTGCCAACAAACCAGAGTAACAACCGAAATAAAGAACAGCACCAAGAACGAACTCCCCCGTCGGAGCCTCTGCCGAGTCCCTTCCCACCCAGGGCAGCACAGTAGCCAGCAGATCCCCCTTCTACAATGGCAAAGGAGGCTGCATGGGGAGGAAGAAAGAGAGGCAGAGACCGAAGCCATTTCTCTTATCAAAAAGAAGAGAACGGTAAGGTCTTCTCGCCTACTTTGCCCTTCTCTAACCTAAATAGTGGTAGGCCAGCCGCCAGTCCAAGCGAATAGGCAGTTGCCGCCAACTCGAATGTAAATCTTCATTTTTAACGTCGTCATTGCTTCCGAAACCGCTGTATGAATGCGTGTTCTTCTGGGTTCTCCGGACAACGACGCCGCGGCTGCCGCCGCCGCACGAGCGATCACGGCCCGCCGAAACGTTGAATACCTTAAGATGGCAAAGTCAAAGACGACAGCGAAAAGATGCCGAGTGACGCCGGTAAATCTTCGCAAGGCCCACCTCGACTCGACCATCTACGGTTGCCTGCCATTGTCGGTTGTTTGCTCTACTTACTTTCATTGCTTCCTATTGGAAAATGTATTAACTGATAGATATACATTTTGCCTACTTCATGAGTTGTAAAATACTCCACGCGGATATGTACCTTATCTGAGGCATAACATTAACGAACATCTTTATGCTTAACATCGACTATATACACCCAAATATATTCTGTGAACGCATTCAAAGGAGCGTTAGCGTTTAAACGTTATCGTAACTCGTAATGATAAAAGTTGATGATTTAGGGAAATCGAAAAGATATGTACGTATTTATGATGAAGCAAACCATATAAGTCGGTGACATGGAGCAGCCTAAGGTTTTGTATATGGAAGAAATGCCTGCGCGAAGAAGGTAAAACTAACACACATTTATTTAATATTGTACTAGTTATTATATTAGCAAAGAAACTTAAATATAAGCCGGACACATATTTATTGAAGAACCTCATACATATATATAAAAGAAGAAAGGTAATCGAGCAAATGATGGTTGTGCTAGCGTCTGATTCATGCCTAACTCAGACCACAACCCCAATGCTGAAGTCGCAGTTGGCTTGATTCCTCTTGGTTTGCTATTACTTTACGACCTCGCAGCAGCATCGTTTTATCGGCATATACATTAATGATGACATCCTAACCCTTATGTCACGTATTCGTAATATATATATTACACGTCACCTCTCTCTCCTTTCTTCATCTCAGTATATGCTTGTTCTTAAAAATGGCTTTCAGCCGGTACTAGACCATACGGCTCCTATTAATGACATTGAAACATACAGAGGATTGGAGGAAACTAGGAGGCAAGAGTCTAGTGAGCGACCCAATCGGTGTCTATGAGTGACCCAGTCAGCTAGTAACAGCGACGGCGGATCGTCGGCAGCTTATGGAGTTCGATCTCGAATGCTGGTATATCGGAGTCTGGGGAGAAGGCTTCGATGACTACTTCATCACGTCCACTCTGATGAAGTGCGCTCCCGCTTTGCTTCAGCAGAAAGGGACCGTATCCCGATCGACATAGGCTGAGCTGAGTCCTGCTGCGGCCTGAGCCACACATCTAGCGTCCCGTTTAGGCAGGCTGTGTGTGCGCGTATACATACGAGGCTTTGCATTACCGCCTGCGTGTTATGGCTCTCCTGGGCGCTCCTTAGCTAGTTTCTCGGTACTCCCTTGTGCCAGGCATGCTTGCCACTGTGTTGCCCGATCCTATATATATCCTTAAGGCAATTATATTAAATCAGCTTATTTACGGTGGACTCTCAACCGACAAACCCTAACAGGCCAGCGTATCCACCGTCATCGTCTGGCAGGGATAAGCTTTAGAGGACCATGCGTGGTGACATGGTCCGTCTCGAGAAGATATAATGCGTGATGCATGAGATTGCTGCCGCACATGAGACTACTACATAAAGCCATGGTCTGCCTGTACGAGTATGTGAGGAATTGGATGAAGCGGCAATGGAGCAGGTGCAGGAATCCGCCTTGCCACGGGGGCAGGCAGCCGGCGAACCGACCTGGTTCATTGTTGTCAGAAGACAGCAGAGAAATCCTTGAGGGATCGCTGTTTTTTGTCGAAATGAAGTGAGACCATGATAATATACCGCTATATAAAATACAATTTACACCACCCGCTTGTAGCAGGTAGCCTCTCTGTTCACGTGAAGGGAGCGGGGGTGGCGGCGGTTTGTACCGTCAGCCAGAAAAATCACTCTAGTCATGTATTCACCGTGGAGTAAGGCCTTGCTTCCCGCAACCAGGTCAGACTGTGCGACTGAAGCGGCAGCAGCAAGACCGGCTGTGATCCAGCGTGCGATCAAGGAAACCGCGTAAAGAACATGAGGACAGGTAGGCCGGGAGGCAAGTTGGCGACGAAGCGATGCAGCTGTCTGTGCGTTAGTTCACTGCAGTAGTAACACTGACGTTCATCCGACGACACCGCGGATACGCCAATGGCAGCAGCTTGCCCTACGAACTGCTGCTAGTAGCTTGCTTGCGAGCGTCCGACCAGCTCGTGGTGGCCCTTCTCTGCCCCTTCGGTGCCCCAGCATGCGCGCTGCTACGGGGAAAAGAGACGGAACGCAGCGTTGGCTAGATGCGTGCGGGGCGAACTACCAACACATAGTTCCACTACTTCATCAAGACCGAAAGAACAACTACGACGTATGTCATCTCTTTGTTTCCAGCTCTCCGGGCCATCTGACCCTAACAAAGACGGAACGTAACGGCATACAGCATCCGCAAATGTAGGAAACACCCGGTAGCGGCTACCTGGATACTCGCGACAGCAGCCTACAGCTACCGACTATCGCCGACCTTCTCATCTGGCGCGAGCAATGTTGCAGGTATACATTTTCATTTAGGTGAGAGCTATCACCAGTGACTACAAGGATTCGCCTCGCCATGTGCTCTCGCTTCCGACGTCGCGTCTTCTTCGCCAGTCCCAAAGAGGTTTTCATCTTGGCGGGGTCTCATGTGGGGGTAGGGGTGCGGGACACTGTGGTAGGGGCTAGTTCGCCCTTGCGATGCCAGCACAAGTGCCTCTTCCAGTCGCCCCCACTCTATCTCTGTCTCTGTTTTGGTCTCTATCTTCCACTCTCCTGTCTTTCGTTCGCTCTGTTTCCAGTGGTTCGTTGCCACCCCGAACAGCGAGCGCCCACATATGGGGAGCAGCCCATATGCACGAAAGCGATGCGACAAGAAGAGATTTAAGCGCGTTTTTCATTTTTCAGCACAAGTATCGCCATCGCTGCCACTGCACCACGGCTACTACTGCTATTTCTATAGCTACAAGCAACATCGCGCGAGAACGTAGGAATCGGTGGCTGCTGTAAAAACACCACGAGTATCTTACGCCCATTGTCCCCTCACCTCACCGCTCCATTCCGGGTCGTTCTCCTTGCGCCAGCTCTACTGATGCTACTCATACTCGTGAAAAGCCTCGCATTTACAGCCGTTGCAATACGCCAGACTGACTGCCGCCCGAGAGGATGCTAGCGGAAGACCTAGTTACATAATACGTAGGACACCTGAAGGGGAAACGGGGACAACAAGATCAAGATGGCTCCAAACCTGCTCCTTTTCTGCTGCTAGGATATCTTGCTCGGCCCTGTACTCTCACTAAAGCTAAAGCAGATACAGAGCCCGGACGGAAGAAAAGTAACGAACAAAGAAAAAAAAAAATTAGACAATCAGAGAAATGGTAGCATGCTGAAAAGAGATAGTCAAGCCGTTCGCTGGTCGAAACGGTACTGTAGTAAACGAACATGCATATACATTCATATTGCTATAGTGTAAGGCAGTTTATATTGCCTGCCAAAATTTGCATAGCTCATAACCCCAACCGTTAGATTTACTGCGCCACCGTTGACGTTGATCAGATACGCCATTTATCCTCGTCTCTTCCATGTGGCATCTTTTTGCATTAAATGGCAATTCGTTGGGCACCACAGGCCCAAGAGCTCGTAGACTCGGTAACGACGGTCTGAAGCTTTTATTGTCATCCGAGGGAGGCTCATTAATTTTTCATTTTTATTTTCGTTTGTGAAATATACACGCATTTCTTCTAAAAGGAGGATGAGGTGGGAGAGGGGTTATTTTAGAGAAAAATGCACACCATGCAAAAACACGTCAGCAAAGCTAGTTGGCTCATCCTGGAATCCTTTCAACCCAGCTCGTTTCGAAGAGTAAATTTACGCCCAGTCCGGGACAATGTGTGACGGATGACCAGTAAACAATAGATGCGACCGTGTACGATTCTGCGGTAAGCTCTGCCAAGGCGTGTTGCCCTGATAACTCACCGAAATACCTTGTTTATGAACTAAAGTAATATAAAAGATGACAATTACTTCTATGGTAAAAACTCTTCTAGCAAATTCATAGGTGAAGCAGCGCATCGTCTGCGTATTGTTAGTTTGATTGGTGTGTTACTCTATTGAACTGTCTCATATTTTGCAATGTAGCCGTATCGACTGCCGATAGCTTCAAGCGATGACAGGTCTACCGTTCAGTATCGTCATGCAAATCTCAGAGTCTGAAATTGCTTGATCTTATGATGATAGTCCGTCGCCCCCTATTAATTACTCTCGCAACGAGAAGAGCCTACTTAACGAATTAATTAAGGACAATTAGGTAGAGCAATTGACGACGGTCATGTATATTTAAATAACTCAATTGTAAAGGTCCCTGCCTGATAAGGGCTTAGCACCAGTAAGGTCAGGCGAATCTTGCACTCATAACAGCATCGCCATGATCAACTAAATCAGCAAATTTCTAAAAATAATGATTATAATGTACACAATGGCTGGAAAGAGCTCTGAAAGATAAACTATGTTTTACGTTGAGTACTATATGTCCTCCAATCGCTTTTTCCAAAGATAAGCTCTCATTTAATATAACAAATAAAATTTCGCAAAATGTTGCTCTGTTCTAAGTGACTAACACTAAACGGTCAACGGGGTGCCCTAACAGCATAACAGGAGAACGAACCCTCATAGATTATAACCTAACTACATTTGTGTCCGAAAGAAAAGAAAACAAATTTATTTTTGATTTTAGAAATCTTCTTTTCTTTTATTTTTCATTTTCACTTTTCCTTCATAGGTCTCTTCACTTTTTAGCTCTCTTCCCATTATTTTCCATTATCATTTCTTTTGTCATCTAGCTTTCCCTCAATGATCGTTTCCCCGTTTTTCTTCTTTTATCTTTTTGCCATTCTATTTCCATGGTCGGTAAGGCCTGGTTTTGTCACTTGCTCAATCCTTATTATCATCGCCATATTGTCTTCGCTCTAGTTCATTATTTCCATCAGGGTTCATCTTCGACCATCAGATCACTACTCGTCCTCACGTAACGACACTCTATCGCGTCGTCATCTTCCTTACCTTCGCCATTAATAAATAATATCCATCATCAGTATTTACAGAAACTTGCATTGCATATATATATATATATATATATACGTATAATGAGTACAGGAGCGTGACGCTTTCGCCTTTTCCTCTTTCTTTCTTAACTTTGCCTACCTTCACGGACAGTACGAGGCAGCAACCAACCAGAGTGCCTTTTTGTTTATGTGTCGAGTGTGGTACAATTTTCTTTGTCGTCAGTGTCGACCGATGTGTCGATGACGCTACGTATTTTTGTGTCTTGCCAACACCTTTACTTTTTTTTTGTAGGGTGGTGATGATGATGATGACCATCATCGCCATCTGTGCTGTCAGTTGCGCGTTATAATCATCATCGCATATATATATATATATATATATATATATATATATATATATATCTGTATATATATTCATCTTTTAATCTCGCCGTATTTTATTAGCTTTATTATCTTTGTTGTTATTATTTGCATGTTTCAGCGCCGTCTGCGTCTCCCTGCCTGCTGCGCCGTCGCATCCTGCGTCCGCCATTTTCTCTATTTATATATACTCGCTTAAGTTCATCACCTACGACGACGTTCGTCAACATCTGCATGTTCATATATATCTATAAGGAGAGATTTATATATAGCGTCCCTATTGATTAATGTCGTCTTATGGAGAGTTGCTGCAACTAGTACATACGAAATCACAAAACCGGTTAAGTACACACCACAAGTCAGCTCCCAAACATGATTCGCACAAATGTTGCCGACACGGCGCCCGCGCACTCGCGCCTGAAAAGTGAGTCTTCTTCTTGTTGCTCGTCGTCATCATCATCATCATCATTATCTTCATATTTAACTACTATGTATTTGCTATGCCCCATTCCGGACCTGCTGGCACCATCTCAGGGTTACTCGTCCACAACATCTTGCCCGTCCATCCCAGGAGACGCTGCCCTGGCTGGCGAAATGGAGCAGTCGCCACGCGCCGGAGATCAAATAGCCTCATTATCATCATCACTATCGGCTTGCCCAGTCATCCACTTCGTGTTGCTTTGTCATATTAGTGTTATTGTTATTAATTAACATTTTCTTGTAATAGTGCTGCGCAGTCGGGGCGGCGCGCGGCGATGACTTAGCTTGGAATGCAGTTTAAGAGCGTGGCAGTTCGAGAAAACGCTGATGCGAAGTCCTCGTCATCGATATCTAATCTGATGCCGCCAATCGACTCTCTTGTCGTTGTCCTTATCATTATTATGTAGGATAATAATCACGTCAGAGAAGTGGGGAAAGTAAAGGATCGTCGGTGTCCAGACTCAAGGGTCTCTTGAACTGGTATAGATTAACTCCTAAAGACGAGCACAACAGATACACTTACAGAGAGACAGATATGTATATGCATATATATATATATATATATCGAGCTTATTGCCGGGCTGGTCCGGGATTCTCGAGAGCGCACGTTGAGCATCTTTCGGCACCCGGCACTCGCCGATCATCGCAGGGACCTTGATAAGGAATCAAAGAGCTTCAAGAGTGGACGTGTAGAAAAATGGGGCAGTACGGAGTAGATTGGGGTTACATTTGGCTCGGCGGGGAAAAGAAGGGAGTAAAAAGCGGATGGGAAACAAATTCAAAGCATATCGAGTAGTAGTGAGCTGCTTGTATTTGCTTTGTGTGTCATTTACCATTTTTATGTGTGAATATGAGTGGCGTGTACGTTTGTATATCTATGTTCAGTATGTTTGGTTAATTTCCCTTCTTAAATTGTCTGTCCTTCCTTTTTGATAAACTGAGATTCGTCCAGTCGATATCTGTACAACGGTGTTTACGGCCGACGATCAAGTTCCAGATGACCTCTGCGTCTCGGTCGCTGTCGTCATCGACGACATATCTAGTTACTCCGTAGTGACGTTCGTTAACCCCTGACTGGAAACAAAAGTCATAGCAGTACTTGATATGATGCCGCCATCAGTCCCTTACCACGAACAGAAAGGAGTACGTGTGAGTTGGTCATCATCACCTCTACCACCACCATCTCTAGCATCACTGTTATCATCGTCATCATCGCCGTTATCATTACCACCGTTCACGAAATTGGGCGGGCTTGTGGTTATGTCAAACATACGTCACATGATATGTCTAGCCATCAATCATCTGTCCATGCCTCGTAAAGGTTGCGTGGCGACCATTTCCCATAGCGCGTCGTATGTCGAATCTGGTGAAGTCGAACACGTTCACTTTTTGATAGCTCGCCCGAAACAGGAAAAACAAAAGAAACCTATACGTACTTCGATGAGAGCTGCTTGGCTAGTTCTGCATACTTGAGGAACTTAGAATGAGGGGACTCGTTGGTTGAAGACGCACCGCCATCGGACGCCACGGACGGTGGCTGCGACGGAGCAGGTGACACCGATCCCCGCTCCGAATTTTTGTCGGTGTCGGAGTTATTATCTGACTTAATGAAGTGCATTTTTGACAAATGGTGTCGGTAAGCGCCCTTCGAAACAAAGTGTGTATCGCAAAAGGCGCACTTGATCGATGTGCCTTCAGGTGAAGCGGTAGCACCCTCGCCACAGGCCCATGAGAACGCTAATATCGATCCGGCAGCTCCAGGCAGGCCTGGGATACCGGGTTGAGCTGATGCAGCATTCGATACGCGTTGCGTCTCTGTTTTGTCTAGAAGCTTCTCGAGCTCTCGGAGTGGATTGTCTTTTTTCTTGCCTTTCTGCGGGGTGGTTACGGGACCGGTCTTGGCGAGCGGCAGGCGATCTTCTTGCAGCGACGCAGCACTTTCACCACCTGGCGAACGCGTCAATAGCTGTCTTGCGGCACTTTTGTCGTCAGCAATGACGAGGTTGTCGGGAACGCCCGGGCTAGACGCCCTGGTCGACGATTCGGACGGTGCCGGGGAGGCCCGCACGTGCGCCCCTGCACCAGCCGGGGATGGTGCGGAACGGCTGGACTGCCTGTCAGGCGAGCTGCCGCCGTACTGCGCCCTCCCAAAACCACTGGGCGTCGAGCCCCTGCTGGGGTGGTCGGGCCCCTCCGATGAGCCCGGACTTTTGAGCATCTGAGCTGCCGCTATTGCACTATTGAAATTTCTTGGCGATCCAGCCGGATGCCAAGGGGGATAGACTTCCTCGTCAATACCTAGCCGCTGCAAGATTCCAGAACTCGCCTGCCGCTTGCCCTTGCCATCGAATGACTTTTCAACAAGTTTCTCGAGCGACGCAAGGACCGAGCTCCCAGGAGCGGAGGAGGACGCAGAAGGGCCAAATGACTCATTGTGTTCTTTGACAGAGTCTACTGACTTCGGAGTAGCCGACCGGTGGCTTTCCGAGTCGTCGTCATCCTCACGTCCCCCCATACCTCCGCTACCACCAAACAGCCGCGAACATTGTTTCACGTGTGCCACGAAATCTTTGGCCTCAACCTTTTCGCCGCATTCTTCACAATTGATACGGCCCATGGCTAGCGCCTGCTGCTGCTGTTGCTGCTGCTGCTCGGGACTACAAGCTTGCCTTTCGAGCTCCAGAAGCTTCCTAACGGGCAGAGACTTCTTTCCGCGGTCACCTCTAACTGGTGTACGCTTGGGCTGCGGTTGCTGTTGTGTGGGAGGGACTGCCGTTGTTGCTGCGGCAGTGACAGCTGCAGCGGCTGCCATCGCCGGAATGTCGCCGATCGATCGTAAAAGGTTATCCTTGTAGTGGTTGTTCTTCACCATGTGATAGCTGAGCTCCTTAAGCGAGCTGAACGCCTGGTCGCAAACCTTGCACGTGAGTACGGCATTTACCTGACTTTGGTTTTGCGCTTTCTCTTCTGGCGATTTCCACGACACGATCTGTTCTTGGCTAATGATATTCGTGTAGTGCTGAGTAACCTTCATGTGTTGAGTCATGTCAGCAAGACTCTTGAACGACTGACCGCACCACATGCATTTGAGAATTTGACGCGTCTGTTCGGCACCCTTGCCCAGCCATACGTCCTGTCCGCGCACAAGCTTTCGCGGCAGAGGCACGCCGTCTTTCGTTGTCGGCTGCTGAGGTGGCTGCTGCTGCTGCGCGTGGGGGGTGTGCGGAGCGTTCGCCTGATGCTGAGTGGCCTGCACCTGCTGCGGGGTATGCTGAGCCTTGGCTGCCGGAACGGCAGACGCAGGCGCGGCAGTCGACGCGGGCGTGGCCGATGTCGAGGCAGCCGCATGCATGCCAGCCATTCCGCAGCGAGGCGAGTTCTTCATATGCACAGTCATGTGTTCTAACGACTGGAACTGTTCCTTGCACCAGACGCATGTAAACACATCCTTTGTCTGCTCACCCGACCTGCTGATCCATTGTGATTGCCACGGGTTCTGTCGGTTCGATGGCCGAAACGAGTCGCGCGTCTTGAGGCCGTGTGCATCAAGCTTCGGCTGTTTGGCTGGAGGCGCTGGCTTCCAGTCCATCCGGGTGGGTGCCGTTGATACGAGCGAAGTTTTCAATGATGGTGTCCACTGCGCAGCCTCTATTTTTGACGCGAGGCTGGCCAGAGGCGATATAGCGGCTGCGGCTGACAGAGTGAGTGCCGGCAAATTCGATTGCTGTTGCTGCTGTGGTTGCTGTTGCTGATGCCGTGAATTAGGAGCTAACGGTGCTACTCTTGTGGAAGATGTCATCCTATTATTGCCCCCGGAAGGCTTTTTCGAGAGATCAAGAGGGGCGTCAGGAGCGGACATATCTACTGCGTCCGTCGTGCTACCCTGTGGGCTGGGTGTAGCTCGTGCTAACGCAGCAGCACTGTCACTGTCCTCTTCATCGTCCGAACGCCGCACGCTGAAATCCAAAGGGTTTGCAGCGACGACAATTGGCTCCGGACTTGGGGGGGACGGTTGTTTAACGACATTGTTGTCGTTGAGATCCGGCTTAAGCTCGCCATGTTGTTGCTGCGACTCGTCATTATTGTCACCGTCGTCGTCGTCACCTAAGAGACCAAAAAGAAAAACAAACAGTCATACGACACACGACGTTAATAACGTAGAAAGTGAATCCTTGTGTGTACTTAACTCAGAGATAAATAGGACGCATCAATAAAATAACAGCTACGTAAACTACTGTTCCTCAGGAGCTTGTGCCCTATCATTCTGCAGAACATTAGCACGAGCAATAGCAGCTGGAGCAAATCGAGTGCGGTCGTCAAAGGAGAAATAACGCAACATCTCTCTCTCTTCCTTTCTCTGTTTGTCTAAACTTAACGACAACGGTCAGTTGGATTACTATAGTAATGTCCGACCTTAAACGTTGAAAGAGTGCACAACAGCGTTTCTACTGCTCCCCTGCTCCAGTTCCCAGCCATCTCACCGTTGTCTTTCATAGGACCAAATTGATAATATGCGTGACTGTTTACGAAAGTGGCATTTACATGCACTTGCAAATTATCTGAAGAATCGAAAAGCGCATTGTCGTTGATGGCGATGAAGACGGAAAATAATCACCGCTGATCGCAGGTAAGCTAGCAGGTGAGGCTGGCTGGCTGGCTGGCTGGCTGGTAAGAGAATGAACAAGCAGCACGCTGCCAGCCCGCCACGGATCGGCCCACCAAAAGGCCGAGCGAACGATTAACCGCCAAACCAATCCACTAGACCAGGCCATACAACGACAGCAGAGAAAAAGAACGCGGACAATCGTGGCTGAGCTGAACGAAGCATGAGGCGAGTCAATGGAACGACGATGTCTATTCGACTGACTGGTTGTTCGTCCTATTGCCTCCCCGTTTCTCAGCTATCCTGCGACTCGTGTAGCAGCATCTACTAGCAGCGGCGGTCGCTGTTCCCCCCTCGGTGTTCATTTCGCGCCGCGTGCATCTCTGTTCGAATGTCTTCGCGCAAACGATTAATCACCAAAGCACGGTGGACATATTTCATCGTGGAAGCTATTCTCGCCACACTGCTTACTGTTAGCTTCTGTATATGGTCCTCTGCTGGCAGCGCCAATCGTAGTCTGTTCCAATGCCAGTGCTAGTTCTATGCCGAGCAATGAAACCCAAGCCTGTCCGGCCATGCGGCCAGGTAAGAACGTTCCCTCCCCATAGCCGAAGCTGTAGCAAGCCATTGGAAGGGGGAAGGCGAGGTAGGGAGAGAAAACCCCGTGAGCGAGCCCTTCATTTAACAGTAATAGGTATTACTATGGTTTTTGTTGTTGTTAATAGTATCATTATTATCGGCTGGCACAGACAGCCGGCAATCCGTTGTGTAAGGATCATCGTCGTCGTCGTCGTCGTCGTCATCGACTGCTGCTTCATATTTGCTGCAGTTTGTCACTGGGAGAGAGCCGTAAAGATCATCAGAACACACAGCGACCCTCCGAACATGTTGCATCCGATGACAGAATGAACGGTGAAGTTGTGATGCAATTGTGACGGTCCGTGCTGGCGTCTCAGCGTGTTTATAAGATAGTTTGTTCCGAGTTTCTGTTATATATGCGCATATATATTGACAATACCACCTGGCACGGGTGCGAAGGAAACCAATGCAAAGACGAGCAATAATCTCGGCCATTTGTTGTTTTCGTGAATTTATCAAACCGCTGAAATTACCTCTTGTATTGTTAAGCAGTTGTGTCAATCATCACTATGGCTCATATGCGAACATGTCTGTAAATATATATATATATATTTCATACCATTATTTCCATAAGGACATCTTCATCGAGGACCGCGCTGGACACCGAACGTGAGTAACGTATTCTATGGTGTTAGCTCTTTCAGAGGCGATGCTGCTTCGGCTGAAGGTTGCTGCTGTCTTGCTACGAATGTTGCGACTGTTCTCATTTTTTACCTCATTTAAATATGCTCAGATTACGTTTGTCCTACCGGCCTTTGGTCATTCCCTCTCGATACGTGTAATACGTACAAGTTTGACGGTACCATTTGGCAAATCGAATCGACGATCCAGCGGCGACAACTGAAAGTGACGGTTCACGCGTCTAACGCGATTAGGCGAATCATAGAGACAGTGATGACTGTGGTTGCGTTACGCTAACAACAACAAGTGCCGCAAATAGAATCATTACTCCAGTTCCACCAGTACTACGGCCAGGACTATCGCTCCAAGGTTTCGTTGGTCGAACGAGCAAAAGGACGAACGAACGAGCGAACGAAGGTGGCCTGCTCAGCTGCCCGCCTGTTTCCCTGCTAGGATGATAATAAATGATGCGTTTGAAGGGACGACGCGTCGCTAAGTTCAGTCACTGCCTACGCGCTGCTCCTTATCCTTCTCTTTATTTTTTCCGTTCTCTTGACTTTTCTGTTGGGTAGAATAGCAGGTCCATCAATCGCGCAGCCGGAATGCGCATCAAACACTTGGGGGTGTCTAGTTGTTCTTTACTTACTCGATAATGGTGATACGGCTTGGCGCTTGCGGATGGCGACGACGACGACATAGGCGCTTAATTCCGGCGACTGCTGCGGAAACAGCAGCAGGGCCACTCCAACTATGCTGTAGATGGAAGATGACGAAAGAAAATCAGGAAGACTAAAAATTAATTACGAAAAAAACGCAGGAGGACGAACTGACCATCACTGCGTGATAATTATCATCGTCGTCGTCACCATCATCATCGTCATCGTCATCGTCATCGTGCCCATAACATCGTGGACATCGCTTTCAGAACTGGTCACAACAGCGGTAGAGGCTATGGCATAGGAGGCATCGTTCGTTCTCCCTATTCCTTACCAGTGACCGTGTAGAAGCAATAATCTTCACGGTGGTGGTGGTGGTGGTGGTGATGATGATGATTATTGAAATGATGAAGACGACGGCAACGACCGATAATGGCGGTGAGGATGATGGCCACGACGATGTCGCCGCTGCTGCTGCTGCTGCTGCTGATGGTAATACAAGAAAAAATATGATGAAAACGAAATGAAAGATGAAAATAACGCGAGGGGGGCGGCATTAGTTGAAGAAAAAGAGACAAACACACAGAGGACAATGATCGTGTTGAGGATGATGCTGACGAGGAAGCGATTGATGATTCAGCGGTAGCGGCAGCGCAGCAGCATCATCATCAGTAGCAGCAAGCTACGCCTCATCGGGACGGTAGCTGCAGGGGAATCCATAAATCAAATGTGAAAAGAACAAGATGAGGAAAAGTAACAGCGGCAACAACAGCAACAATAGCGATGATGGCGGTGATGACGAGGAATACACTGCTGTCGTTGTCGCAATGCTGCTCTCTATTCTTATTCGACTCTGATACCGCTAGTGTCGCTGCTCTGATTATAGCCGCCGCCAACAACAACAACAATGGCGAGATCTTTCTCTCGGGTTCGCGCGTCCCCACGCAGCTTCCTCGACCCGGTCTTTTCGTCACTACTCTTCTTATAGGAGAACCCATCTACTTCACAAGAAAACCGTCAAGCGACATCGCCCATTGGCACCGCCATTTAACACCATCATCCTCTTTTCTCGGTCGTAAGTGCTGACAGCAATCGTGATCACGTCATACCAATTCCCAGAAACAGAAGAAAAAAGCGGGGTCAAAAGCGCAATGAGGTGGAGAATAGAATAGAACAGATATACATTGAATATCCGACCGGTCAACGGCTGCCATAACTAAATATATATGTATTTTAAATTTAACCTTAAATGGCATAACGAGTCTGGCTGGAAAAACTGATATGGAGCGGTTGGCGCGATCTTCAAAGTAAACCTCGTTGTATCTGGTCCTCTCCCCCCCCCCCCCAAAAAAAAAAAGAGTTATTATGAGAAGACTAAACGTGTTGTAGACATTCAGACGAAAATAAATAGAATCCTCGGCTGAAATCGGAAAAAAAACGTCCAGCGCATTGCCAAGCTGTCAACGCTACGACCGTGTCCGATTGGCCGCTTCATGCCGAGCAATTATAGAGAACTTGATGAACAAATAAAGACGTCCTTTTGTCAGGGGTGACCATGGGGAGCGCTGGCAGTTGCAACTGCCTTAGCAGCAGCAGAAATAGTTCGATGACGGTGGTTATGCTCTGAGACATTAGCAATGATGTAACGGGACTAGCTCGTCTATAGCTGACCAGCACAATTAAACAGCTGAAATGTACATTTTCGCCCGTTTTGCATTCGAGGCTGATGGCTTTCGTCTGCTACGAAAATTAACGACGAAATTGAACAGAATTGTAAAGAAGCATCGAGGTGCGCCAGCGGTTCTTGGTCAATTTTATGCTCGTTTGTTTGCTGCCTACAATAGCTTATAGTAAAGTGACTTTTTCGCACTTTCCTTAATTCCATCAAAGGCAAATGAACGAACACACAAGCGGACGACAACGTAAAAAGCTAACTACACGAGCGAACAGGGTGTAGCATGCTCATAATAAGGAAAATATTAAGATAGCTGATCTTGATGCTTGCTATAATAGCTTGACTCTTTTCCCCAGAGTAAACTTTAGCTCTTATTATGTCCGATAATGTCAACAAACAGTTTTTATCAAGAACACTGTGACTGTATCTCTCCCGACCTCAATTTTGAAATGTAGGGAGAGCAACGAAAGCAATTATGTCGACGACGATTTAACAACTGCAGAACCCAAAAAAATGCTTTCCCGTATGCGCACCGCATTATATGGCTAAACAGCCATTCTTAACTAAGCATGAACTGACAACGCTCATAGACGGAATGAATTATCTACATATATTTTTTGCTGAGGGTAGATACATTTCCCGGCTCACCGACGCCGATAGCAATAGAAGTATTGTTTATTTATGAGCTTTCATTTGTTTTATACATCAACAACGTTTTATCGATCGTTACAACAAGCACTAACAGCACCCCACCGAGATCGTCATCGGTATCTGTGGCGGCGGCGGCGGCAACAACAACAACTTCGACTATTACCGGTTTTCAGTAGCCAAATCAGAACTGGGACCAGGACGATGCATACCAAACGCCAAAAACAAACACAAACAACAACAATAAACATTTACGCTGGCA